GAAGAAGAAGGGATTAGATAATTAAAGTCCTATTTTTTAGCTCCTANGTCTCTAAGTTTCTCCAGGTCCGACTTCAACAATAATCATACCCATATATAGAGACCTGACTTGTTTATCATTCGTTTTGTTCTCAATGGTTTAATTTTTTATTCGTGTATTTTATTATGAAATTATCAAGCGAGTTGATTGTGCCCGTTCAAAAACAAAAAAATAAAAAAAAAACCTAATGGGGGGTGGTTTTCAAAAATGGGCAGGCTGGATTGATGGGTAAAAAAACAATCCTATCCTTCAATTCATTCATCTATTTATACAATGGGCTCCTTCAAAGATGGATAGGCTGGATGGAAGATTGGTGTATTTGATAGAAAGATTGTGGACCTTACTTCTACTTATGTATGTTTATCAAACATGGGGTTAAGAAAAAGGAGACCATGAATTTCATGAACCATTCTAATCGGTTGGGTTTGGAAACGAGAAATGCAATCTAATACCATCTTTTCCCACCATCCAAACACAACCATTGCAGGAGAATGGTTTTCACAATGTTTTTACTCATAGAGGGTGATATATTCCATTAAAATATTATTTTGTGTGATCTTTATATTCTAACAGCTAGTATAATTTCAAGTCCTGCTAATGAATCGAGCCAAACCGAATATTGAGTTGTTCAAACTTGATTCATCTATTTTTGAAATATATTCAGGATCAACTCATATTCTTAGTGAGCTTCGAACAATGTGACAAGCTTTTCTCACTTGATTTTTATTAAGACTCGAACTCTACTCGACTTAAACAAAGGCATGTCAACCAAGTCAATGGCCAACAAGTGCTAACAAAACGAGACCCATGAACGATTTGATTGATTTGTAGTTCAAAATTCCAATCTCAGTCCATTTCATGTGGATTTCATAAGCATCTAAATCATAGTGCAGGGATTATTATTTGATGTAATTGCCATATTATGTCGCGATCAAGTATAATTTCAATGTTTATGGTGAATCTCGTGAATTCACTAGCATTTAAAATATAATATTTGTTAGAAAGTACGACAATAGTGATTACTTATGCATGATTTGAAGTCTTCCCCTTCTCTTGGTAAGTTGAACAAAAAAAATTGAATCTTTCATTCAGAAATTTTATCGATTGGCATTTTTTTGACAAATTTAGAAGATTGATGTCATCGGTTGACAAAAACGCTCATCCTAAACGTTCTTTGTTGACACCGGTGCCATCATCACAATTAATGACAAACAAATCATTGCTTAAGAGACAATTCCAACCACTTTTAATTATATCAACAGGGGATCCCTTTATTCGCGGTTGGGCACTAAATACTGGGCAAAACCAAACTCAGACCTCTTATGTCTGCCCTAATTGCCATATGACTGACCCATGAGCGTCGCGAGGAAAGACTAGATATGTCTCATACGAGATGCTATAAGCTATTTTAGTCTAGTAGCTTAACTCTTGAAGGAAGAAGCACATAATGGAATAGTATGAAGAGTTATCTATTCTATTTGATCCCCCTACGCTTCTCATTCCGTAGTTCGCTACAAGAATACAACTTAACTCATATGAGAAAAAATAGCATAGGATATTAAAACCAAAAGGTAATCCTTCTCTTAAGATTACGGTAGCGGGTTCATAATCTGTCTTTTTCTAGAAGACAATGACCAATGAATCGATGTTTCGGTTTCGATTGAGGCTTTCCCGATCCACCCTCATAGAATTGGGAAAAGCTAAAGCCATTAGTCAAGTAAGGCGCCAGGAGCTTAAAGTTCGGTTTTGTGTGAACAAACGAAATCTTCATGCTACTACCTAAAAAGGTAAAAGAGTGGGAAGTAGAGAAAAAGGAGGAATTGAATAGTTAAATGCTCCCATTTGTTTCTCAACTTGCAAAATTCGCTGAAGTAGACATTTTTGATAAATTTGAATATCGACCTAAACCCCAAGAAGGTAAAGATAGAGCTCAGCCTCGATCCCAAAGAATTGAGATGCCGAATTGAAGTCAACGAAAGAACTTTCCAATGTGATGTCTCTACTTATTTATTGTCCAACCATTCTTTTTTTTTGGAAATTAATCATTTCTTTCGTTTCTCTTCCATCTCCACTACCACCTCTAACCTATGCCCATAGCTAGGCCCGTTAACGAACTGAATTTCAATCTGAATCAATTATTGAAAACGGACCTAAAATCCGACTTAACCTATTTAAACTTATAATAAGCTATCTATATAATATTTCAGTTAAAAAGTTCAATTCTCAACTTATAAAAACATAACAACAATCAAGATTGATTTAATTTTTATTTATTTTTATCTAATGGTACAAAATTCATCCTCAAAATTTTTTTCACTTAAAAACATCATTCCCATTACATGACCGNGTTTCTCCTCCATCTCCACTACCACCTCTAACCTATGCCCATAGCTAGGCCCGTTAACGAACTGAATTTCAATCTGAATCAATTATTGAAAACGGACCTAAAATTTGACTTAACCTATTTAAACTTATAATAAGCTATCTATATAATATTTTCAGTTAAAAAGTTCAATTCTCAACTTATAAAAAGATAACAACGATCAAGATTCATTTAATTTTTATTTATTTTGATCTAATGGTACAAAATTCATCCTCAAAATTTTTTTCACTTAAAAACATCATTCCCATTGCATGACCCTCAATACTAGACAACCCTCAATTCAAACATATACCTCTCTAATTACTTCTTTTTTATTTTATTTTGTTCATTTAATTTTAAGAGGAAAAAAATAAATTTAAATGTTAGTACGATCAATGTTAGATTTTTGGTATTACAAAGTATCTTAAGACACATGATTATTGCTAATATGAATATATGCTAATAGCATCCAACTTCTATGTTTATAGAGTAATGTTATTCTGACCTAAAAAATTGATTTAATGATATAACAGTTATATGATCTAATAGTGTTACTGTTTAATGTAATTTTTGGACATTTTCATTGAGATTACATCACTTGACATATTATTAATTCAACAAATTAGATTAATTTTTTAAGTCCCAATAAAGTTAGTCATATCTATATACGTGGCATTGTTGAGAAGTGGGGGGGTTTACTTGCCCCTATATCTCCCCCTTTTACCCATAGCTATGCCCTTTTCTCTCCATGTTGTTCTCTACCGCTTTGCCTTTCTATTACCTTCATATTTTTTATATTTTTATAAATTAGTAATAGGAGTTTGAATTGATCAATGAGTTAGTAGTAAAGTATTAATAAGTTTCTTCAGTCGGTAAAGCAGTGAATGAATTTTGTAGTTATCTTTTATGTGTTATCTAATTGTATTTAAAGACATTAATTGAATTAATAGATAGTATAATTAATATTTGTGATTAATNAAAAAAATAAATTTAAATGTTAGTACGATCAATGTTAGATTTTTGGTATTACAAAGTGTCTTAAGACACATGATTATTGCTAGTATGAATATATGCTAATAGCATCCAACTTCTATGTTTACAGAGTAATGTTATTCTGACCTAAAAAATTAATTTAATGATATAACAGTTATATGATCTAATAGTGTTATTATTTAATGTAATTTTTGGACATTTTTATTGAGATTACATCACTTGACATATTATTAATTCAACAAATTAAATTAATTTTTTAAGTCTTAATAACGTTAGTCATATTTATAAACGTGGCATTGTTGAGAAGTGTGAGGGTTTACTTGCCCCTATATCTCCCCCTTTTACCCATAGCTATGCCCTTTTCTCTCCATGTTGTTCTCTACCTCTTTGTCTTTCTATTACCTTTCATATTTTTTATATTTTTATAAATTAGTAATAGGAGTTTGAATTGATCAATGTGTTAGTAGTATAGTATTAATAAGTTTCTTAAGTCGGTAAAGTAGTGAATGAATTTTGTAGTTATCTTTTATATGTTATCTAATTGTATTTAAAGACATTAATTGAATTAATAGATAGTATAATTAATATTTGTGATTAATTTTCTTGTGAAAGGTTTAGGAAGTCATGTTTCCTTCGAAATGAACGAACTGAGGTTTCCTCCCTTCGAAGCGGGTCTTCTTTCTCCCCTATTCTATTTTTTTTTTATTTTTTCAATCCTTAAAAAATGTGCACTTAACACACTCACATCAAATCTTTGAAAAATGTTATTTGGACTTAATAGATGGACCTAATTCAATACAATCTTTGGATCGGTAATGGATTCAATTTAATATTAGAACTTATGACTAATTTAATAGTTGCATTGAAACTACATCATTTGATTATCAGATTAGGTCCAACTAATTATTTTATATTGTAANTCGAAATGAACGAACTGAGGTTTCCTCCCTTCGAAGCGGGTCTTCTTTCTCCCCTATTCTATTTTTTTTTTATTTTTTCAATCCTTAAAAAGTGTGCACTTAACACACTCACATCAAATCTTTGAAAAATGTTATTTAGACTTAATAGATGGACTTAATTCAATACAATCATTGGATCGGTAATGAATTCAATTTAATATTAGAACTTATGACTAATTTAATAATTGCATTGAAACTACATCATTAGATTATCAGATTAGGTCCAATTAATTATTTTATATTGTACTTGGTACCGTTAGATTTAAAGGGTGTGAGCTAATTATAGCTGAAGGAAATGCTAAACATCATTAAGTCAAGAATATATATATAGACAGACCAAACCCCATGCTAATTAATAAAGTCGCACTGACCACATCGCTAAATAAGCGTCCAGCTAGCTAGCTAGCTGCTAGAATACACAACAGTGATGATATGATAAAATACAGTAGAATGACATTCAAGGCAAACTAAATTGACTTACAGCGTCACTTGCACGTACATGTGACGTGATTTTGTTATATGAGAGATCATCATGCTCTCTATCCATTTGTCGGGTAGGGAAACACCTTAATCGCGGCTAGCTGCCAGTGTAAGAACCATATATATGGTGCTTCATGTTTATTTAACTTCAAAGGTGAAGAAGGCACCTCAAGGATTTCCCATCAATAAGCAGTTGAAAAGCTTCGTTTATCTTGCTAAATGGGAGCTCGTGGGATATAAACTCCTCCAATTTCACACCCTACATTTAGTTCACCATCATTATATATATATATATATATATATATATAGGCATTGAAAGAAATAGTGAAAATTGGGCAGAGGAGAAGCTGAAACTGAAACTCACCCCTTGCATGCATTCTCTGACAAAATGAGGCAGTTGGGTCTTCCCTTTAAAGTCTCCAAACACTGATGCAACTATCCTACGCCCGTCGAATAGCTCCATTGGATGAAGAGGGAGCATCCTCGGGGTCGGATGGACTCCCAAAACTACTGTCAAACCCCAGCCCTGTTACACAAAATTTACTATGATTTCACTCGTTTCATTTATTTATTTTTTGTCCTAACTGCAATTGTATAGGTACTGTTAAAGAGAAATTTATGTCACTGCCAAACTGATGTGATCATCTTAGACTCCCTGGCCATCGTGCATGCATCTTCCTGCCAAAAATTTAGAACGGGCTAAGTATGTCATGTGTGGGTCGTGCTAGCCTCTGCATTAAATGCATTGTAACCCCTCCTACGAGATAGAGCCAGCCAGGCCAATGGCCACTACTTCCATAATGCTGACAAATAGTCATGAGATGCGACCAAATTGAGATAATGCTTCCATTAATTTTGATTAGATCCCTTTCTTCCCCACTGGCTGGCAGTCAACTACGGTGCCATTAATATATGGCAACAGCCTAATCCGGAGATGCACAAAGATACAAGGAAAATATTATTTGTATTTAATTTGAGAATTTAACGAGAGAAAATTAAAATTAAGATAGGAATAATCCGACCTTTATCAGTTAACCACTCCCTGAATTATATAACATAGTTAGTTGTAATATAAGTCCAACTAAGAGCAGCATTTCAAACTAATTCACTATCTTCGGGGAGGGTAATTAGCTAAGGTAACGTGGGCTTGCAGCTTGGTACGATAGATAGATTATTNCGGGGAGGGTAATTAGCTAAGGTAACGTGGGCTTGCAGCTTGGTACGATAGATAGATGATTAAAAAAAAAAAATCTAACAATAATGAGAGAGAAAACAATACAATAAAATAAGCAAGAGACACGTACATCATGAGTGGACAAAAAAGCATCGCGAAGAACGTCTAAGTTCCCTGCACACTCAAAACTGTAGTCGACGCCTCCTTGCGTCATTTCCTTAATTTTCTGCATTCCAAACCTTAACCATTAAATAATAGGGTAAATATTATTTGAATTTAATTTATTAATTTAAATAGTACTAGTCTATTAAGTTTATAGTTTAATATATGTAGGGGATCATGGGATTGGGGGTCGGACCCGTAATTCATGGTCTTGATTTCCGTGAGACAACGACCAGAGAAACAAAGAAAGAATGCATGTTGACTGGTAGGTAATTGTACTTAGACAGACCTCGTGCACTGGAATACCAAAATCCTTCGGGTTTAAGAAATGAGTAATTCCCATTGCCTGACCTGTATATGTTCACAAATAAATAGAAAGAGTTAGTATAAATTACAAGCACAAGCCAATTGTTTGTTGATTTATAACGGGATTTCTACTTGCACGCATAAAACAATGGTTAGCTAGGAGACTATGGGGTCAGTTGATGTTAACTCAATAACTGGACAGCTTTGTTCACGTTATTCAGTTATCAATAACATATTGTTTGTCAACAACGTTGCGTTTACGCTTCTAATTCTATCACATTCAGGATATGCAATTTTAGCAAATGTCCCTAGAGTAATATACGTATTACGTACCTTTCACTTGTTTGTTGTCATTAAGATCAACTCCTATTATTTTGGACGCTCCCCTGNCAACGTTGCGTTTACGCTTCTAATTCTATCACATTCAGGATATGCAATTTTAGCAAATGTCCCTAGAGTAATATACGTATTATGTACCTTTCACTTGTTTGTTGTCATTAATATCAACTCCTATTATTTTGGACGCTCCCCTGGCTCGTGCTCCTTCCACAACCTAAACAATTGTTATCACTTGATAGGTTAGTTACGAGAAAATATGTATTCATACATTATATAAATATATATCAATTCAGCACTCTTATCTCTAATCTCAATCACAATCACAATCACAAGCATGAGAGATAGAGTTTTTCAATTTCTCTTTATGCCAATCCATGGAAAACGTCACTAATTTTAGTAAGTTTTTACTATTGGCTCGTGGTAATTAATCATGCATGTTCCAATCACGCATGCATGTGGCAGACAGTACCAAAAAATTAATTTGGGTCCAATAATGCAACAATTCAAGCAATTGCTATCACTGTGGCTGGCGTCACACACTTGTCCCATGCATCTGTCTGCTGACTCTCACAAGTGGGTTGATGCATGGATGTAAGATTTGTCAGGGCTGGTGGGTCCGCTGTCGGTGGACCAGTTGACCCAAATAAATCCAATCCATGCATTTAATCAAATGGTTACTTACACCAATGTCGGTCTACTCAAAATGCAAGTATTAGTTTGGTTGTGATTATCCGCCCATTAGTGCTCAAATGACCTAACATAAATTTATAATTAGGAAAATTTAGACGTTGGTCTCCCCATATGAATTTATTTTGACTTAAGTCTATAAAATTTTTTATTTATTATAAAATTTATTTTTTTGTCAATTTTATAATATTATCCCCCTTAGAAGTGTTATAAAATTAAAAATTATAAACTTCTAAATTTTAAGAGTTTGATTAACATTAAAATCTTTTCTTCCTTATATCTATCTATATCCATATATAAGTTAAGAGTTTAACTAATATTAAAATTTTTTCTCTTTCTTATCTATATATATATNTGCCTGACCTGTATATGTTCACAAATAAATAGAAAGAGTTAGTATAAATTACAAGCACAAGCCAATTGTTTGTTGATTTATAACGGGATTTCTACTTGCACGCATAAAACAATGGTTAGCTAGGAGACTATGGGGTCAGTTGATGTTAACTCAATAACTGGACAGCTTTGTTCACGTTATTCAGTTATCAATAACATATTGTTTGTCAACAACGTTGCGTTTACGCTTCTAATTCTATCACATTCAGGATATGCAATTTTAGCAAATGTCCCTAGAGTAATATACGTATTACGTACCTTTCACTTGTTTGTTGTCATTAAGATCAACTCCTATTATTTTGGACGCTCCCCTGGCTCGTGCTCCTTCCACAACCTAAACAATTGTTATCACTTGATAGGTTAGTTACGAGAAAATATGTATTCATACATTATATAAATATATATCAATTCAGCACTCTTATCTCTAATCTCAATCACAATCACAATCACAAGCATGAGAGATAGAGTTTTTCAATTTCTCTTTATGCCAATCCATGGAAAACGTCAGTAATTTTAGTAAGTTTTTACTATTGGCTCGTGGTAATTAATCATGCATGTTCCAATCACGCATGCATGTGGCAGACAGTACCAAAAAATTAATTTGGGTCCAATAATGCAACAATTCAAGCAATTGCTATCACTGTGGCTGGCGTCACACACTTGTCCCATGCATCTGTCTGCTGACTCTCACAAGTGGGTTGATGCATGGATGTAAGATTTGTCAGGGCTGGTGGGTCCGCTGTCGGTGGACCAGTTGACCCAAATAAATCCAATCCATGCATTTAATCAAATGGTTACTTACACCAATGTCGGTCTACTCAAAATGCAAGTATTAGTTTGGTTGTGATTATCCGCCCATTAGTGCTCAAATGACCTAACATAAATTTATAATTAGGAAAATTTAGACGTTGGTCTCCCCATATGAATTTATTTTGACTTAAGTCTATAAAATTTTTTATTTATTATAAAATTTATTTTTTTGTCAATTTTATAATATTATCCCCCTTAGAAGTGTTATAAAATTAAAAATTATAAACTTCTAAATTTTAAGAGTTTGATTAACATTAAAATCTTTTCTTCCTTATATCTATCTATATCCATATATAAGTTAAGAGTTTAACTAATATTAAAATTTTTTCTCTTTCTTATCTATATATATATATAACATTAAAAATAAAAAATAGTAATATTCAAATACAAAAAAAAATTATCATTTGGACACAAAAAAAATTATCATTTTGACACAAAAAATAATATATTAAAACACAAAAAATAGTAACATTTAAATATAAAAAATTAAAACATTTNGTCACACACTTGTCCCATGCATCTGTCTGCTGACTCTCACAAGTGGGTTGATGCATGGATGTAAGATTTGTCAGGGCTGGTGGGTCCGCTGTCGGTGGACCAGTTGACCCAAATAAATCCAATCCATGCATTTAATCAAATGGTTACTTACACCAATGTCGGTCTACTCAAAATGCAAGTATTAGTTTGGTTGTGATTATCCGCCCATTAGTGCTCAAATGACCTAACATAAATTTATAATTAGGAAAATTTAGACGTTGGTCTCCCCATGTGAATTTATTTGGACTTAAGTCTATAAAAAAATTTATTTGTTATAAAGTTCATTTTTTTGTCAATTTTATAATATTATCCCATCCCTTAGAAGTGTTATAAAATTAAAAATTATAAACTTCTAAATTTTAAAAGTTTGATTAACATTAAAATCTTTTCTTCCTTATATCTATCGATATTCATATATAAGTTAAGAGTTTAACTAATATTAAATTTTTTTCTCTTTCTTATATATATATGTAACATTAAAAATACAAAATAGTAATATTCAAATACAAAAAAAAATTATCATTTGGACACAAAAAAAATTATCATTTTGACACAAAAAATAATACATTAAAACACAAAAAAATATTAACATTTAAATATAAAAAATTAAAACATTTAATATTAATATTTTTTAAAAATAACAATAATAACATGTTCAACAAAAATATTAACATACTTAACAAGAACTGTAACATACTTAATAATAATTATTTCTCCCGAGTTCAAACGCAAAAAATAATATCACTCAAATACAAAAAATACTAATATTAAAAAAAAATAGTAAGATTGAATATTAATATTTAAGAAAATAATAGTAATAATATAGTCAATAAAAACAGTAACATACTCAAAAATAATAGTACACGAACAGTAACATACTCAACAAAAACAGTAACATATTAAAAAAAAATTAGTAACATGAATTTGAATTTTACTATTCAAATTCATAATAACTTCTTTTTGTATTTGAATATTACTTTTTTTTAATGTTATTATATATATACCTAACCTATGTATGGATTATTAATTTTCTTTCAAGGAAAGATATTTTTGAGATAAAAAAAAAATGGACTTAAGTCATTACACATAATTTTAAATATAGACTTAGCCTCTTATAAGTTTTCTTGCAAGACTTATCTCCAAACAAGTACATGTAGAGAGACTCACTTCTAATTTTCACTTATAATTATTATAATAAAATTAATTATAACCACCACTATATTTCCATCTAATTTTTATTTTTTACTCCNAGTTCAAACGCAAAAAATAATATCACTCAAATACAAAAAATACTAATATTAAAAAAAAAATAGTAAGATTGAATATTAATATTTAAGAAAATAATAGTAATAATATGGTCAATAAAAACAGTAACATACTCAAAAATAATAGTACACGAACAGTAACATACTCAACAAAAGCAGTATCATATTAAAAAAAAATTAGTAACATGAATTTGAATTTTACTATTTAAATTCATAATAACTTCTTTTTGTATTTGAATATTACTTTTTTTTTTAATGTTATTATATATATACCTAACCTATGTATGGATTATTAATTTTCTTTCAAGGAAAGATATTTTTGAGATAAAAAAAAAATGGACTTAAGTCATTACACATAATTTTAAATATAGACTTAGCCTCTTATAAGTTTTCTTGCAAGACTTATTTCCAAACAAGTACATGTAGAGAGACTCACTTCTAATTTTCACTTGTAATTATTATAATAAAATTAATTATAACCACCACTATATTTCCATCTAATTTTTATTTTTTACTCTTATTTAATTTTTAACTTATTTTATACTTTTTTGTAAGAACTTCTAAATTCTTTTGAACTCATTTATTAGTAGTACAATTATATATGATTTTCTATATGTATATGTTAAATTATTATGCATAACAAATTAATAAATTAAATTTTACGGTCAAATATATGTTTTTTGGTATGTAATAAAATAATAATATTATAAACAATCTAATCAATTTATTTAACAAAATAAAAATTAATAATTCTACAATATAATTAGATGTATAAATCCATAAATGAGTCGAAGCGATACCTAAATAAATAATCAATTAAATACTTAAAGACTTATAGAATAAATTAATAATTAAATTTAGTAATAAAAAATACAGACTATTTATTTCACACTTAATATATTATTTAATTTAATTACATATATTATTAATATTTTTTTATAAAAAAATATTATTTAAATTTATTTACATGCAATACAAGTCGAACATTGCTAATGTCTCTAAATGTCGCATAAAATCATGGAATTAAATTTTTTTTAACATTGATTTCATTTTTTCTTGTATCTAAATAAAATTTATTATTTATAAATACACCTCTTGTTAAAGCATGTATGATTGATACTCTTATCATTTCGAGAAATGAAAAAGAAGTAGTGGAACAAATCTACAACCTAAAAATAAGAGAAATGATAGAATAAATAAAAAATGGAACAAAAACGTTTTTTTTCTCTATTATGATAATGTCACATCAAATAATTTTTTTATTTTATTTTTTGTCAATCTAACATTATTCTAAAAATAGAATAATGTCCTAGCCTAGTATAGAGCTTACCGCAAGCCCCACGGCACCTAAACCGAAAACAGCCACGGTAGACCCAGCTTGGACGTTGGCAGTATTCCACGCAGCTCCAAGACCTTGACAAGTTTTTCATAATAGGAATTAATTAATTTTACTAGTCCAAAGTCCAAATAATTAAGAGTAATGTTACACAGATTAAATTTTAGAATTAAATTTAGAACTCAAATGACATGATAATTGATTATTTAAATTTTTTATTGAGACCTAAATGATATGACACCAATCAAAGAAGTTTAAATCAAGTGTCATGTCATTTGAGCTCTAAATTTATTCTCAAAATTTGATCAGTATAACATTACTGAATTAATTAACGAGAAACACACATGAGTAGAAATTGCAGAAAGCAAGCAAGTAATTGAATTGAATTGAATTGAATTGAATGCAGTTGTTGTTACCGGTGGAAACGCCACAACTGAGCAAGGTCATATTCTTGAGTGGAGCTTTTGAATCAATCTTGACGACACAGGCGGAGTCAAGCACGGTGTACTCACTGAAAGTGGAAGTATTGAGGAAATGGAAGATGGGTTCCCCTTCTTTGGTTGAAAACCTACACTTTCCATCGTTTAACATCACGCTCTTGAATGGATTCACACGAAACTTGTCGCAGAGATTAGTTTTTTGGGATTTGCAGTAAGCACAGTCACCGCACTCTCCGTTAAATATGGGAACCACATGATCGCCTTCTTTCATGTCCACCACCCCTTCTCCCACGCTCTCAACCACCCTATATACATAAATATATATATAATTATACAGTATGATCTGGGAAGACAAAGTGGAACTGGAAGGGCATATGCTCCTGGCCAAGCCTGAAGCCAAAATCACAAACCAAACAATGCAGATGGAGATTATTTTTACCCAACAGCTTCGTGGCCAAGAATTCGTGGATATACTTGCTGAGCTTCATTCTACCAACAAAAATCACAACATGGGGAGGGAGGGAGGGACATTAGATAGATGATTTCAGGAAAATTAAATTAGATGCATGATGGGCGTTGACTTGAAGATGAATGATTAATTAAAAATGAAGGAAAAACAATAACCGAACTGTGTGATGCCATGCCATACCTCGCCTTGCCAAGCACTGAGATCAGTATGGCAAATTGAAGTGAAGAGGATCTTGATTCGGACCTCCATTTTTTGAGGGGTATCAACGCGGATTTCCTCCATAACCAAGGGCTGTCCCGGACCCCGTGCCACGGCAGCTTCATCAGCAACACCCATGTTATCTTTTGCATTTTTTCGAGTTTGATCGAATCCAACGACTCTTTTCAAACCTTAATCTTTACCCAAAAAAACAAAAAGAAATAAAAAGGGAAAAAGAAAGATGAATCTCTTACCTTTACAAGTTATGACCTTCCCGGTTGTCTCACTTAACGTGGAAAAGCCGTTAATGCCCATCTCTCTCTCACTCACTGATCTCTCTCTAGATCTCTAGCTTAAATTGGGTAACGAGACATTATCACCAGCTGTACTTACAGGCAAGCGTGGCAATTTTTTTTCCCTTCATTTCCGACGGGTTGCTGGGCCAAGAGGGACATAATTTGATAGTCAAAGATTGATCGACTTAGTGTCTTCTAAGAGCAATTCCAATTGAACCTACTCTTTATTATATTATAGGAGTCATTCATCAAAAGTCAAGTGTGCGTGCACGATCTTGCACAATATAAAAAA